GGGGGTGCAGAGTCAATGACTAGAATCAGGACATGGCCAGGAAGGGGTCTGGCTCTGGAGATGAAGTAATGGTAGGGCTGGGGGCCATGGATCAGTGGTTGATGTCAGGTTAGGGCAATATAGGAGTAGCGGGACTAAGGGACCAGTTAAAAGTGCTGTGATAAAGTCAGGGGAGCGGGGGAAGGAGAAGAGGGCCATAGGGCAGTGAGGATAGGCTGAGAGTTGTTGGGATGGAGCCTGGGATGCTGTGGCACCCCTAACTGTGAAACTGGTAGGGGTGGAGTGCATTGCGGGGGGCAGCCAGCATGGAAGGACCCATGAGCATGCAGGCTGGAGCAGGGCTGTGGCTGCACCGACAGGAGGCTCAGCCTTTCCAGGTCATGTAATTCTCCTCGTGAAATATTCATGGCCACTCAGCCCAGATGCTATTTCAGAACAGCAGGGAGGGAGTGCGAGGACTCACGAAGGAGACTCACCCATGACAACAAAGAGCTCAGCTGTGCACGCTTGATGCACACATGCACACTCTCTGGGATGAGCCCTTCAATTGTACCTCCCCCCAGCCACACACCAACACCCCAGAGGGGATCCAGAGCACGCCCAGACTAACCACACCCTCTGCACATTGGAAGAGGTGCAGAACAGGGCACACACTCTGCACGTGCGCGCACACATATGCCACCCAGCAAGACAGGACCCATCTCACAAAACTGCACATGTATATGGAAAGCCCGACCCACACACGCACCTCAGCATAAACAGATCAGTGCAAGCACCTGTATGCACAAGCCCACAGACTTTACACCAGGAATGGCCAACCTGTGCCACGCATGCCATGAGGAGGAGAAGAGGATTGGAGTGGCTCTCAGGGAGTGTGCAGGTCTAATTCATAGCATGCCTACCAAAAAGATTGGCCTCCTCTGCTCTACACAATGCACCCCCAGGCCTGTATATATAGTGAGATGCCACTTCCTCTGTTTCCTGGGTCCTCTCTTCCCTATGCCCTGGGTGGCAGGGGGTACTGTGTATCCTCTTGTACCCACAGACACCTGAGGCACAGAGAGGGGAAGTGATTTACCTGAGTTCATGGAGCAAGTCTATGACAGATCTGGGCATAGAACAAAGTGTCTCTGGCTGGTGCCTTGATGACTAGGCTGCCCTTTGGGAGCATGTTGGAACCAGGGTTGGGAAAATTCTGCACCCGGGTGCATAAGCTTAGCTCTGACCTCTCAGGGATGCTGTGTGGCAGGGGTGCACCTTATCTTCCATGCATACAAGCAACACTTATGCACAGAGCACTTCTGGAGCTCTGCTTGCAGTCCCAGGCCTTTTAGGAGACAGGATTTTTGTGGTTATTCCTCCAAATTCCAGTAGGTTGGAGGGGCCTCAATTGATTGTAAACCAGCAGGTTGCATAGGACTGGTTCTCAGCAGCTGCACAAAGCTTCAGCCTCAGTGTTACATGTGCCTGAGACTTTGCAGCCTCCACCCACAGCTCTGAGATGAGTGAGACCCACCTCTGAATGTGGCATGGTTAATTCTTGAGTCTAATGATGACATCCTTTGACTATGTTTTGGCTGACTGGCAGGAGCAGAGGGCAAATGAAGAGCAGCCTGTTCTGGTGGGGGGTTGTTTCCCAATCAGGGCTTGGGTACTGAGCTGCTGTCTGCCTCCACAGCCAACCCTGATTAGGGTCCCAGGGACTACACAGGCAGGACATGTGTAGCAAAATTGGGATTACATATTCAGCTAGGGGAAGGAGCAGTCAACTTTGGGGGATGGCACTTTAAATTCAGGTCTGGAAGGGGAGAGAAGACCAGGCCAGTAGGTCCCCATGAGCCAGCATCTGTTGGAAAGCAACAAGCTGCCCTCATCAGGAGCTCTGGGCTAGCAGCCCCCCAAACCCAAGCCCTGTGGCAGCATTATAACCCACCCTGCCCACTGTACCCACCCTGCTGTCCCCTCCAGCCTAACTATACAGAGGATGAACCCAGTTGCTCAGGAGGAGGCCATCACTGCCTGTTCTCTGTCCTGGGAGCTGTATTGTCTTATGTGACTGTGCAGTGGAGGTGGGGGCTTTAGGCACCAGGCGATGACAGTGCCTCATGGAAAGGCTTCTCACAAAAAGAATGAATGGGACACAGGCCAAGATACCTCAGGAGAGGCTGGCCACGTGGCCCAGTGGCAACAGCCTCACAATACCTGAGCTCTATTCATGGAATTGGTACTGAAGTCACTTCACTGCTCCAGGCCTCAGTCCCAACAGCTGCCCCGGCAGATTCTGTGCTCTTGGAGCGAGGGGTGGGGGGGTCTATGCAGCACCTAACACACTGGTGGGGACCTGGTTCAGGAGGGGTCTGTACAGTATCTGACACAATGTGAAAAACCCAGCTCTATGGAGGCCCTGATCCCAGTCAGAGGCTGTGCACTGCCAAGCAGGATGGGAAAGGGAGCCAGGAAATGGCTCAGATCTCAGCTAGGAGCCTGCCATGGCTGCTTGAATGGGCCACTCCTGATATAAGGGCAGTGGAGTCCTGGCTGGACAAGGGGTCCACAAAGATGTTTAATTCACAGAGCAGCTGGGCACAGATTGGACATCAGCACAGTCCAACTCAGAAGGAACAACCTGGGCAATAACAGGATACTGTTGTGAGGAAGCTTGTAGCACTGTGGCTAGACTGGCTATGCCGTGGGGAAGTTTGCAGCCTGGTGGCCAAGCTGGTACTGCCATTGGGGAAGCTCACAACACTGTGACTAGGCTGGCATTGCCATGGGGGAGCTCTGATCTTTCGGCTCACACTGATCTGCTGTGGGATGCCATCTCCCTCCTCCTGCCAGCATAGGACCCACTGACCTCTCCTGACCCCTGGAGAGGTCAGGGTGCCATTCACTGCTGGAGGGGCTGCAGGGTGCTGTGTCATGAGCTCCACACTGCCTTAGCAGATGGAGATTCTCAAGTGGCTCTGTGGCAGAAGGGGGTGTTGGTGGATCAGGGGGGCTGGCACCCTGTGGGGGTTGGGGAGCATGTGAGTTTTTAGGGGGCTGAGAAGTGGAGGTGCATGTGGACACTGACAGTGGGCTGTTTCATGCCAGCTGGAACTGCTTCACTAGGGGCTGCTTCAACCCACAGGAAAACACCTCCAGCCCAGCTGGGGATATCACTGGGGGAGGTCCTGCCCAGCCCCCCAGCCTGGCTGGCTGGGGTGCTCTCCCCAGGCAGAGCCAGGCTTATGCCCCTAGTGCTCTGCCTGGCACTGCTCCAGCTCCCACCCCTTCCCAGCCCTGCATATAGCAGTGTGGAGCCCCAGGCTGACATCACAGCACTCACTGACCCACTTTCCAGCCACTCAGCCCCAGAGATAATGCCGGGCTGGAGGCAAGGGAGCCACACACACGCACAGGGCATGCCCAGCACCACACAGCATACAAACACACACACTCACCAATACCATTCAGCACTACACAGCACATTACACATGCATGCAGTGCATGCATCACTACACACACATCACCAGCACCATACAGAGCACAACACATAGCACTACATACCTCCATGCACAGGGCAAGGGGCATGGGGCGAGGGGGCGCACAAAGCACCACATACACAGGGTATGAACAAGACCATGCAGAGACACACACCACCACTTATGCAGCAACACACACACATGCAACAAGGTATTTGCAGCATGCACTACACACACACACACACACACACACACACACACACACACACACACACACACAGAGCACCATACAGCACAGCTGCACACACAGGGTATATATAGCACCACACAGAGAGACATACACAGAGCACAACAGATGCATGAGGCACTCACAGCATCGCATAGCAGCATGCCCATACATGGATCACATAGCACATCACACGCGCACATAGAGCACAACACACAGACAAATACATGGGTCATGCACAATACAATACAATACAATACAATACACAAACAGCACAGCAACATACACATGCACAGGGCACTAAGCACACACAAGCACATTGACCTGGGGCGCATACCCGGGGCATGCACAGCACAATGCACACAGCAGAACAAAGCACCATGAAGCACACAGCACAACACAGCAACACACACATGTAGACAGCACAATGCAGCAAAGCACCCACGCAGCACAACAAAGCACCACATATACACACATAGCACACGACACAATGCTGCACACAGCACAGTATAGCCAGACATACAGCACAACAATGATATATGCCCTCACAGCAAAATGACACGTGCATGTCCACACCTATGCATGCAGCATGATATGGCACCACGTGCACCACGTGCATGTGTACAACACAATTCAGCCATATGCACGCAGCACAATAGAAACACACAGCACAACACAT